CAATTATAGAGATGAGAGGAGGCCAGTTCCACTGGTATGGACATGTCCAGAAAGCGCCACCTTCCACCATTGCCAAGACTGCCTACTAACTGGAAGTTAATGGCCGGTGACCTCGCGGGCATCCAAAACAGAGATAGTAAGACACCATAAACAAAGCAAGCCATGGGCCTGTGCCCTGGAGACGCAGCTGACTGTGCAACGTGGCATTCAATGATCCAAAAAGCAGATCCCGCACCTGTGAGAATACACTAGGAAGAAAAAGAAATATATGCAAGTCCAATCATAGACTGAAATATCAAGTGACAGATTAGAATGTAGGAGTTGCAATGATATAAAAAAAGATACTGAGACTCTAGAAAGAATGCAGAGAAGAACAATGAAGATAATTAGGAAACCGAAGGCTAAAACATATGAAGAACAGGGCAGGAATTGGGTATGTCTAGTTTAATGAAAAGAAGGACTAAGGGCAACATGATATCTGCCAATCTCTAATGGGCTGACACAAATCTATTCTCCAAAGTGCCTGAAGGCAGGACAAGAAGCAATGGATAAAAATTAATCAAGGACAGATCCAACATTGAAAAAAGATTCTTTACAGTTAGAACAATTAATCAGTGGCATGTTCACCTTCAGAAGTTGAACGGTGGGGTGCTCCACAGTGATGGGATTTAAATAATTTAACAACTGGTTTTCTGCCCTAATGACTGGGTGGGTAAAAGTGGCTGGGTGGTCATGTGATTGGGTGGGCATGGCCAACTCATGCCAAGGGGAGCCACGCCTTGCCTAGCCTCTCCTCTCCTCGCCCCTCCCCTCCCAGCCACTCCTCTGCTCACCTGGCCTCTCCTTGCTGGGTAGCTCACATTGCCCAGCCACTCACCTCGCTGTCCAGCTGCTTACCTTGCCGGCTGGCCGCTCACCTGGCCCTTGCCTCACCTCCCAGCTACCATTTCACCTGGCCTCCCAGCCAGCTGCACCAAGAGGCCAGGAATCTTAATGTTGTATGTACTGCTATAACACAGAAATTTGTAATGCACCCCAGACTTATCAGATTCAAATTATTGCTTTATTGTGATTAGAGTCTAATAATTATTTGTACAGTGCAATTCTATAGGAAAACAGAAAGAAGAAATGCATTTTAACACATAGCACATTGGTATCTTACATTGTAAGGTGATGGTTTCAGAAAGACATAATGAAATAGCCCCAGTCAATTTAAGAAGCTAAAGAAAAAGTTATTCTGCAGATAGTCCAAAACATTGTCATAATTTCTTTTGAAAATGCCAAATGCCCAATGTTAATCAGCAAAATGCTGCAGTATATTTTAGACTTCAAATTCTTAAAAAAAAATCAAGGGCACTACTTACAATTATTTCCACCTTTGTTACCGTAAAGTCCTCCCAACCTCTCTACTTTTCCCCACCAACCAAAGGTGTGTTTTACATGTGATGCCTCCATCCCTAACGGCTGAATCTAATATTTCTAATGAGAATTGCTTAAGGCTTGCCACAAGTGCAAGCTGAGATAACCACAGCATTTCCCAGAGTCTAAACTGAACACTTCAGCTTCCATAATCGCCTCCCAGCACTAAACGTACATGCCAAAGCTTGAACATTATTACCACATTAAAAGCAGTAATAAATGGACTTGCCTTTTGCCAATAAGTTGCCTCAACTTTTCTACAAAAGCCAAGAAAAACACTGCCAGAACTGATACTTTTTGTCTAAGAAGAAACATTCATTTCCTTTTTCTTTAAAGAACAATATTGCATTTCAAGGTCTGAATCATGTATACTAGTAGCCCAATTTGGGGAGGGGGGAGAATGTGCATTACACATAGAAAGTCTCGGCTTTGGACTATTCAGCAATCCAGCTGAATCAGGAAGTCCCTCTGATGGTGTCATGTTTCTTTGGATTGAACTCCAAAAAGTAATTGAGGTGACGTGCTATAACTACCCCTTCAAAAGCAACCTGCTAAGAGTGCACCAGCCCTCGTTTATCTGGTTGTCATGTCCAGTTGTAAATAACTAGATAGGCCATCACTAAGGGGCCAGGGCCTTGCCACCACCGGCCACCAGCCTGCTGAAGCTGCAGGCTCGTTCCCAGAGCCGGTCTCTGTCTGCCACTGACTCCCACTGCAGCTCCTGGAAGTCACTATAGCGCACTTCAACTTCTTCCTTGTGCCAGGAGAGTGCGAGACCAGGCACACAAGTGACGTAGCTGTCCAGGAAGACTTTGCCTTCCGTGGTGTCACATAGCTTTCCGGGCAAGGTAGGAGAGAAGCCCCCAGCCAGGCGGCCTCTCTCTCCCTTCTCCTACCTCGCTGGGAGAACTGTGTAACCCTGGAGAAGGCAAGGCCCTCCTGGATAGCCTTTGCTCCTTTGAATGCATCTTTCTTTGCCTTTTCCTGGCAAAGTTTGGAGATGTACAAAGGCAAAGATGTCCTCTTGTCTTTGGGGTGAGGGGAGGAGTGGCTGGGGGGGCGGCGAGGACCAGGCGTGGCGATCTGTGGTGGGATTCGGACGGTTCGCCGAACCACACACAGAGTTAGCTACCAGCTGAATCCCACCACCATTGGAGGTTTTAAAGAACTTGGTCAGCTATTTGTCTGAAATAGCATAGGAGTTCTTAGGAAGGGGTTGGACTAGAAGATCTCCAAGGTCACTTCCAACTCTGTCATTCTGTTAATTGTTAAAGTGTGACTATTATAAATCCCATTGCTCTCAATGGGCAAACACCAGCGGTAACTAAGTTTGAATCCAGCCTAAGGTTTTTCTCAGAATTCACCCTGCTAAGTAGCCTTGACAAAATTAGCTGAAAATTCTAGAACAGACCTTACCTGGAAGTTAATTATCTGACTGGTGATTCAGACAGTAATAAAGTGATACAGACAGAATAATAAGTATATGTTAAAAAACAGAAAAGAACAAAAAAAAATTCAGATGATGATATTCCATTAGTTCAAATGAAGAAAAGCCTCTGAGTAATGTTAAGAACAAAGTGCAACTTTGGTTCAGTTGAATTACAGTTCTGAAACTATTAAAAAAAAAGCTATGAAATTCAAATGCAGACAATCCAATTAGATGAATTCTTCAACCAGATACTGCAAGATCTCTTTTGACATTACATAATAACTACGCTGGCTTCAGTTACATCAGTGTGTACATCAGTGTGTACATCATTATATGTTCAAAGGGTAAAATACACGATTGTGTTTCTAAATGGGCAGGAAATTTATCAAGGGATATATACTTTCATTTCCATGAAGTTTAGAACATGTGCCTATTTGTATAATGTCACCTAGCTACTAAAGAAAATGAAAAAAGAAAAAGAAATATTGTTTATTCTACTGTATATTTTCTTCACTAAGAATTAAAATGATTTTGTGTCTGCCTTTCATCTACTGGTATAATAACAACAGCAAGCACAGTTGTTGTCAAAATGTATCTTTGTCTCAGTAGAATAAAACAGGAAAAAGATACAGTACAGTAGTTTCATCTTGACAACACACCACCACTGCAGAAACAGAAAAAGTCACGGATGGGAAACTGCTCAATAAGTGAATGTGTCCCAGTAGCTGTGTTTTTCTATTTTTTTATTTTTACTTATTACTTTTTTAACAATTGCATGTATTGTTATTTTATTTTAAAGTTGTTGGCTGCCCAGTATCATATAAGTGACATGGGTGGTCATGTAAAATGAATTAATGAATCAATCAATATCTCTAAAAGGTATTTTATTGGTAGGTAAGAAAAGACACGAAAATAAATGACTGAAATGCATGCTGGGCTCGAGGAACTCCGTTCTAATCTCATTAGAAATTTTGATTTTTGATTTTGACAAGTCTTACATCATCACAATCATCCTCTTTCCTCGAAAACATTCTGAACCTGTATCTCCACAGTCACACTCATAAGCAAGCATCTCTGAACAGTATTTGACCCACATCAACATCTCTGCAGCCTCTGGCTGCTTCCTTAGATAGCATACAATAAACAAACTTTGTGTTTCTTTATAGCTTGTGCCTGGGAAAATCAGAATTGAAGGAGACAGATGGAGCACCTCAGGGTAACCTATCCCATCCTGTCTGGTATTATTCATTCATAAAATAAAGAGGGTTGCCAAAGCAAATAGTTGCAGTTTCACTTGCAAGGAACAGATTGAAAGATAAGGGAAGGCATATGACATCCTGAGGTAATTTTTGTTTTAACAGGAGAAAATGCTTCAGTCTTCTTTTCTCCAGGGTATCACTTATTAGGAAGACAGAAGAGACCTACTCAGGATGCCAGTTTTGAGGCGCAATCTTAGACACTTAACCGAGAGTGATCTTCATTGAACATAATGAGATTTAATTTCAAGTAAATATGCGCAGGATTGCACATCAGGGCTTTCTCCTTCTTTAAAGATTATTAGATTTTCACCAGAGGGGGAGAGAAAGCACTTTTGGGATTTCCCTCAGAGGTGTCGAAAAGCCCTTTATCTTCACAACAAGGCTCTAATGGAGTTCTGAAACCACAAAATACCAAGTTGTTTTGTTCGGGGTTTGTTTCCCACCTCCGAAAGATACTCGCATGAGAGCAGGGAACAGGAAGCGAACCCGTCCCATAATTGTGTCCTGGGGTTTACCTCGGATTGGGGGGGGGGGAGGAATATCAAGGCATCATGAAGTAGTGCTCCATTATCTCCCTGCATTTTCTCTAGTTTTAGTGCCACAGCCCAGGGTAGACGATTCAAGTTTCCCAGGAGGGAAACCAACCCCTCTGTTTTTGTAAATTCACAGCGACCCGCACTACCATCAGTAACCATCTCAACGAAAAGGAAAAATATTTTAGTCGTGTTGAGTTTTTTAAAAATTTCCTCAAAAAGTCGAGGAGAAAGGTCTTTTAAAAAGTTGTCCTTGCCGCCCCCCTCGGCTGGAAAGTTTCTCCTCCCAGACTTCCCCGCCTGATCCGCGCCCCTCTTTTCGCCCCTTTCCCCGCCGCCCCGTTTGTCAAAGTGGGGTACCTCGATATCCACGGGGTCTCGGCTAAGCAAGCGATTCATACTTTCCCCCTTTTCTCTTTGCCGCGCCAAAAACAAAAAACAAAAACCCCGAGAAACCGAAAGGACAAAACGGGCAACGCCTGCAGGAACTGAATGTACCCGAGTGCCTTTTGGAGTGTGTGCATGCGCGGGTGGCTTTATTTTGGCTGGAGTTGTTACCTACATAAGCCGAGTTGTAGATATGACTCAAGGCTAGTGACTCGGGAATCTTTGGAATACCAGGCGTAGATTTTTTTTTTTAAAAAAAAGAGTAGTATCCTTGGCCTAGAGCCACGTGCAAAACCTGTAGGTTTCTCAGGGTAACCAAGTTTGGGCTCCCGGTTTTTTTATTCCTTTGGATCTAAACCAAAGGAACGACCCATCTTTTAAGGCACTATCTGGGAACAAGAGAACGACAACGATTTATCGTCCGTAACGATGATCAAATCCCGTGTAGGATCGGTGAAAAAAGAGGGGAGTGGGGGAAATAGGCAATCACATCAAATGGATTAAACACATTAAAACGCCAGAATATGTAATAATCAAGCATTCTGCAGACGTCACTTTTCAAGAGGGGAGGAGGAGGAGACAATTTGGCAACCGAAGAGATTGCTAAATTGCGACAGCCGAGGCCGTGCACGTCGGAGATTAGGCAAAGGCAGAGTTGGGCTAGATCCAAAGCAATCAACGCGGAGCCTCCCAGCGTGCTCAACTCTATTTAGGGAAGCCAACTTTGCGTGTTGCTCTGTAATTACTGCGCCATGACGGGAAACAATTCTTAGCTGGGCAATGGCCAAAGGCTTTGCCTGTTGAATTTCTGCATGTCAAAAGGTCTTCTGCTTAGGAGGCAAAACAGAAGTCCCCAAAGGAGGGAGGGAGGGTGGTAAGACTGCTTGAGGCTGATCCCCTGTCCAGAGAAGAAATTAGTTCCTCTCCAGGAAGCCATGAACGGGCAAGCCCAGAGAAATGTGCAGCAAAGATGTCCGTCCACTTTGAGGAAAAGAAGCTCCAGGGTGAGGACAAAACAAGCATCCGAGCAAGGTATTCAGATGAGGGGGAAAAGCCGAATGCTTGGCTAGGTCGTTCACCCTGAATGCAGCAAATGACTTTCCTCACCTTGACAATGTCATTGATGAGGGAATATAGAAACTTCCTGTCCTTTCCTTGTCCAAAATCTCCTGGAGGTGGAAAAGGAGAGAGTCTCCTTGGACAATTGCCCTTGCCTGCAATCTCTCAGACAGTATTATTCATGTTGCAAATGTTTGGTGGGTCAATACGGTCTGCTGTGAGTCATGTTAGATAGGTGGACAGTGTTTTTTATATATATAAGGAAAATGTTCATTTAAAAGAATAATTATCATTTGTAGGAAAATGGAGTGCTGCTGTTTTTTAAAAAAGTGCTTGATATGTCAAATGAACAATTATAAACACTTTCAAAACTATCTCTATGTAGAGCAGCTAACACCTAAGAATCATCTGTGTGAAACCTATCCAGCCTGAATGCAAGCTGAAACTGCAAGCAGAGGAAGTACAAAAATAACAATAGAACTTATGCTAGCAAGGAAAAAGGTTATGGTGACCGTGTTAAAATTCTTTGAACAAAGGTAGAAAGGGCTTTTAGGAGAATTAAGTAGGATGCTGTGTCAAAAAGGGAAGGGGGAAATGAACTTATGTATGGGGATAAAAGCTGATCTTCATGCTTTGTTCTGTGCCCACTCTCTGTGCACCTGTGTTTGCAAATACGTGAATAAACTTCTTTGCTGCTTTCAAGTTGTTTGGGGGAGTTCTATATGCAAATGTGCACTGTTTGTAACAACAGGATCTTGGTTTTACTGTAATAGCCAAGTCTATACTTTGGGGTATGATGGCTCAGTCATTAAAGATGCTGGGTAGCCAGCTTGTGTCGGGGCGCCTGTTGCCCAAGCACTCTGACAGCAAAAAGCGGCTCTGGAGCTCCATTTTCAGCTGGAACGGCCTCCTCCAACCCTCTGCCAACAAAAATGGAGATTGGGAGGGCTGCGGGCTGTTAAAGGCACTTCAGGTTGTCCTTCGCTGTTTCCAGGGTGGCTCCACAGGCCAGATCTAAGCACCCTGAGGGCCGGATGTAGCCCGCAGGCCTTGAGTTTGACACCCCTGCTTTAGCACATCTGCCGGTTGTTAAATGTAGCCTGTCTGGCAAAACAGACAACCCACAGCATTTGACCAAAAGGGCTAAAGCTACAGATAAAGGTGGTTTCTAAGGAGAAAAAAAAAAGGTACACTCCTTTTTTTTTTTAAAGTGGAAGAAATTTCCAAGCTTTCTCAAAGGTTCAAGGAGCAAAGGCAATCCCCATCTCTCAGCTTTTGCCAGAAGGCTTGGATCCCAGAGACATAATGCATATTATTTTCCCTCTTTTTTAAAAAAATTTTTTATTGGTTTTTAAAAATAAACATAAACAAAACATAAAAACATCAAGCTGTCTTCCATAGGTGTACATACAGTGTGCTGGCTGGTTTACAAATTGTTTTGTGCTTCCATTTCGTAGTCTTCAATTACAATTACATATAATCTCATATTGTCAATCAAAAATTAAATGCCTTAGTATCATTATTAATCAATCATTTGACTATACTTTTATTCATTCATGTTTTACAAGATAACCATAATTTACCTAGTTTATTTTATAACAGTTCATATTGTCATCCCAAATCTATCCTAAAATCGTTTTGTAGATATAATAAGAAAAAGGTATATATCTTTATTATTTTCTAAAAGTCTACATATTTCATTACTGTACTTTATTGTCTAACCATTGATAGAAAAGATACCAAATTTTATAAAATTCTTTATCCTCTTGTTCTCTAATTTCAAATGTCAATCTACTCATTTCAGCACATTCCAATATTTTCTTAATGATTTCCTCCTGTGATGGTATTTTCTCATTTTTCCAGTTTTTAGCAAATACAATGCTAGCCGCTGTTAATACATTTACAATCAGGTATTTAAAGTCTTTACTATATATTTCAGGTAAAATTCCCAATAAAAATATCTCTGGTTTCAAGTCTATATGTTTTTTTGTCATTTTTTCCAACCACATGTGGATTTTAGCCCAGTATTTCTTAGTATCCGCACAAGTCCACCACGTATGGTAATATGAGCCAGGTGTCTGATGACATTTCCAACATTTTCCAGATTTATTCTTGAACATTCTTGCCATTCTTGTCAGGGGAAAATGCCACCTGTAAAACATCTTATACCAAGTTTCTTTATGATGTTGACATTGTCATTTTATAATTTTGAGACCACAATTTTTGCCATTTCTCTAAATCAATCCCATATCCAAAATTCTTCCCCCAAGCAATCATAGTTTCTTTAACTTGTTCTTCTAGTTTAATTTCTAATAAATATCCATACAATTTTTTAATCACCTTTTCATCAGTACCTGTCAAAATCTTATCTAAATCAGTCAGTTTATCATAGAAACCTTCTGTTTTAGAATCTTTATCATACCTTGAATGTATTTGCGCATATGAAAACCAATTCATCTTTATACCTTGTTCCTCTAGTTTTTGCATAAATTTAAGTTCACCCTTTCCATTCAATATTTCACCATATCTAACTGTTTATATATTATAGGATACGAAAATGCTTCAGTAGTCGATAACCAGACTGGAATTTTCAAATAACATTGTCTTTTAATCTTCTCCCAGTTTAACCACAGAGACTCCCGTATATAATGTCTTCTAAAATACCCCTGTGTTTTAGTTCCTTTGTACCATAAAAAAGCATGCCACCCCAACAATAAATCATGTCCTTCTAATGTCAACAATCTAGTATTTCTTAGTGTTATCCATTCCTTAACCCACATCAGATTTGTAGCTCGGTAGTACCACTCCCAATTAGGCAAACCAAATCCTCCTCTAATTCTAGCATCTTGCAAAAGTTTTAACTTTATTCTCGCTTTCTTACCTTGCCATATATATTTCAACACAATTTTATTTAAATCTTCAAAGTAGTCTTTTCCAAGCCTAATTGGAATTGTTTGAAACAAATATAAAATTCTCGGTAATATATTCATCTTGATTGTTGAAATTCTCCCTATTAGCGACAGTTGTAAGTTTTCCCATTTCGCCAAATCTAGCACTATCTGCTGTTTAAGTTTAATATAATTATTCTCTTTTAATGTACTACATCTTGCTGTCAAATGTATCCCCAAGTACTTGATCTTATTCGTGACCTGAATTTTCAGTAGATCTGCCAGTTCTTCCTTTTGTCTTAATAGCATATTCTTTGTCAAAATTTTTGTCTTATCTTTATTTATTTTCAAACCAGCCACCTTTCCATATGTCTCTAACTTTTCTATAAATTTTGATGCTGTTTCTAAAGGGTCTTCTCAGATGAAAACCAGATCATCCGCAAATGCTTGCAGCTTAAATTCTTCCTTTTTGATTTTCATTCCTTTTATATTCTTTTCATCTCTAATATTTCTGTTTAGCACTTCCAAAGTTAACACAAACAACAAAGGTGATAGTGGGCACTCTTGTCTTGTTCCTTTTCTTATTTTAATAGAGTCTGTCAGTTCTCCCTCTATCGTTACCTTTGCTGTTTGCTTATAGTATATAGCTTCTATCGCCTGAATAAATTTTCTAGCAAAACCCATCTGTTCCAACAGTAATAACATGAATTGTCAATTCACATTATCAAATGCCTTCTGTGCATCTAGAAATATCAGAGCCATTTGTTTTTCAGGATGTGCCTCGTAGTATTCCAAAGTATCCAAGATTACTCTCATATTGTCTTTAATTTGTCTCTTTGGCAGAAATCCATTTTGATCAGGATGGATAAAATTATTTAAATATTTTTAAGTCTTTCTGCCAATATTGAAGCAAAGATTTTATAATCCGCATTTAGTAGAGAAATGGGTCTATAGGTCTTAATTTGTAATGGGTCAGCCTCCTCTTTTGGAATAAGTGTAATATAGGCTTCTGACCATGATTTAAGTATCTTCTTTAACATAACTTCATTCATAACTTCTAGCAATGGAAGATTCAACGATTCTTGTAATGTTTTATAAAATTCTGCCGGAAGTCCATCTGGGCCTGGTGCCTTTCCATTATTTTGCTTCTTGAGTGCTTCAGTTAACTCC